CATCAGACCCTGGTTAGTGCCCAGTCATAACTGTCTAATTTCAAAATCCTTTTTAGATGCACACAGCAGACTGTGAAGAGTGGTTGCTAATTAGAGGACAATACCGCAAGGACATTGCCATGCATAGTCGTTTACCCTTTTTAAACAAAAACACAGCAACAGAAAAGTAAAAAGGAGAAAAGTGTAAAAGTTCAAGAAATACTATGGGCTACCTGATGCTAACTCCTGTGCTAGGTACTATGGGAGATTAAAAATAAATAAATATCATCAATATGTTATTTAATAGGTAAGCTGTAACTCAAGACTTATCTGCAGGAAACATACAGAGAATTGTTGAAGACATAATGTAACTTTAATAAATGCCAAAATGTGTAAATAGGATATTTCTATGTCCTGGAAGGGAGAGAAGCTTTTATGAAAAAGGTAGACTTGGAGATGGGTTTTGAAATATTAATAAGACTGGTTCTAGTGGACAGTAGGAATCTGGGGAAGGGAAATAACATTCAACTAGACAAACGGGATAATGAATATGGGTTGTTGTTGTTCAGTTGCTCAGTTGTGTCCAACTCTTTGTGATCCCATGGATTGCAGCATGCCAGCCTTCCCTGTCCTTCACTATCTCCTGGAGTTTGCTCAAACTCACGTCCATTGACTTGATGATGCCATCCATCCATCTCATCCTCTGTTGTCCCCGTCTCCTGCCTTCAATCTTTCCCAGCATCAGGGTCTTTTCCAATGAGTCTACTCTTGGCATCAGGTGGCCAAATTACTGGAACTTCAACTTCAGCATCAGTCCTTCTAATGAATATTCAGGGTTGATTGCCTTTTGGATTGACTGGTTTGATTTTGCTCTCCAAGGGACTCTCATGAGTCTTCTCCAGCACCAAAAGCATCAATCCTAATGAATATGGGTAGAGTGAGTCTTGCTAGTCTTTGGAAGAGAAATAAACTTGGGAGCTCTCAAGTGGTCATTTCCTTCTTTGTAAACTGAAAGTGTTACCCTAAAACTGGGTTTGCTTCTTGGTGGGTGTCAAACCAAAAGACACAAGGCAAAGATAGGGAGAAGGAACAACTTACTACTTGCAGCAAGTAAGGAGAACACCAAGAATCTTCCCCAAAGCAATGTCTCTCTAACAGCAAATTGGAGAAGTTTTAAGTTAAGGATACCTGCATATTCCAGGTATCTTCCCAGGTGACATAGTGATAAAGAATCCGCCTTCCAATGCAGGAGAGGCAGGAGACGGTTTCAATCTCCGGAAGAGCCCCTGAAGGAGGAAAGGGCAACCCACTCCAGCATTCTTGTCTGGGAAATCCCATGGACAGAGGAGCCTGGTGGGCTGTAGTCCATGGTGTCACAGAGAGTCAGACACGACTGAGTGACTAAGCACACAGCATGTCACGAAAGCCACACCTGGTTTTCCTTCTCCCGGAACTTCCTATCTTATCTACTTAGAAAGGTGGAAAAAGCCATAGTGTAAGGGGAGAGAGTAAACAGGGAAACAAAAGGAAACAGAGGGAGACTTCCTGGGTTCCCGTCAATACTCCAGTTCCTGGTTCTGATCTCTGTCTGAGCCGCAGCTGCATCCCTAATTCACCTCAGTGTCTTCAAATAAATTCCATCTTTTTGTTGCCCAGGGAGAGAACCCAAGCAGTCATAGAAGCCAGGAATCCTAGCCACAGACATAGGAAAAATGCCAGACAGAGGTTACCAGATCCAAGCCTCAGGGTAAACACTTGGAATCAGCCCTGTTGTCTGCATCTGGTTCTTCTGATCTGATCAAACTTGTTTTGGAAACTGGGCTGTGGGTTGGCCAGATGATGACCTCGAAAAAGGCCTCTAAAGGCCTAAGAGAGCTTACAAGGTCTTGTTTCTGCTATTCAGGCTTTGTGGTTCTAGATTCTCCCACTGAGACAAATTGCCATGGACACACAGAAGCCTCCTTGCTTCTTTTTTTTTTTCCCATCTATTTTTATTAGCTGGAGGCTAATTACTTTACATCATTGCAGTGGTTTTTGTCATACATTGAAGCCTCCTTGCTTCTTGAATACTATTTGATTTTGACTATGGTTTGGCAACTGACAACTGCTTATAGGTCAACAGTCAATTGGATAAAACCACTGCATTTTTGATCAGGTACATTACCTTCTGGGCTTCCCTCATAGCTCAGTTGGTAAATCATCTGCCTGCATGCAGGAGACCCAGGTTTGATTCCTGGGTCAGGAAGATCCCCTGGAGAAGGAAATGGCAACCCACTCCAGTATTCTTGCCTGGAGAATCCCATGGACAGAGGAGCCTGGCGGGCTACAGTCCCTGGGATTGCAATGGTAGGACATGACTTAGCAACTAAACCACCATCACTACCACCACGTTACCTTCTAAAGGCAGAAGGAGTCATTCATCAGGAACTAAACCACCTACTTCAGAATAGCTGTTCTGGCAAGTGAACTGCTTGCTCTAGTATTTGCTCTTAATACTAATTTAAAACATATTTTAATGACAGATTGCGACTTGGAGGTGATTCATTTTTATTTCATAGTTGTCTTGACAACAATGTAATTTATGATATTCTATGTACTTGAGAATCCTAAAATTTTACAACCAAGCAGTATGCTGTTTACTTAAATTTTGAACAGAAAAATATACTGGTAAAACTCGTTAGTGTTGGGTGGACTGGAGAAGGACAATTATTTGTTCCTAATTTTTTTTTTCTTTTTTTGGTTATAAATAGTAGTGACTTAATGACCATGACTACATTGAATATCAAGGAGGGTCATCTCAAGTATTTCTTAAAATCATCTCACCTAGAATTTATTTTCACTGCTTTTCAATTTCTTATTTTCCTGAGTTTATTATAGCTCTTTCTCTTTGAATTATCTTATGACACTGGAACAAACTGGAAATAAGTTTTATATTTTGCTTTTTTCCATGTTTTATATATATACACACACACACACACATATATATAGTCTTAAAATTATTCATGGAATTTAGAATGCTTTTTATTATGAAACATTTCAAACATAGGAAATTCAGGAATTAAGAGGAAAAAATTACAAGTATCACCCTAGTAAAAGCACTTACAAACAAAAACCACTACTATTTTACAAAACTCAGTTCAGCTTTACATTTGGGGGGTGGGGCACTTTTGACTGGTTCCAAATCAGGAAATGAGTATGTCAGGGCTGTATACTGTCACCCTGCTTATTTAACTTATATGCAGAGTACATCTGGAGCACAAGCTGGAATCGAGATTGCTGGGAGAACTATCAATAACCTCAGATATGCAGATGACACCACCCTTCTGGCAGAAAGTGAAGAAGAACTAAAAAGGCTCTTGTTGAAAGTGAAAGAGGAGAGTGAAAAAGTTGGCTTAAAACTCAACATTTAGGAAACTAAGATTACGACATCCGGGCCCATCACTTCAGGGCAAATAGATGGGGAAACAATGGAAACAGTGACAGACTTTTTGGGCTCCAAAATCACTGCAGATGGTGACTGCAGCCAGGAAATTAAAAGACGCTTGCTCCTTGGAAGAAAAGCTATGACAGACCTAGACAGCATATTAAAAAGCAGAGACATTACTTTGTCAACAAAGGGCCATCTAATCAAAGCTACGGTTTTACCAGTAGTCATGTATGGATGTGAGTTTGACTATAAAGAAAGCTGAGTGCCGAAGCATTGATGCATTTCAATTGTGGTGTTGGATAAGACTTTTGAGAGTCCCCTGGACAGCAAGGAGATCCAACTAGTCCACCCTAAAGGAAATCAGTCCTGACTATTCATTGAAAGGACTGATGCTGAAGCTGAAACGCCAATACTTTGGCCACCTGATGGGAAGAACCGACTCACTGGAAAAGACCCTGATGCTGGGAAAGATTGCAGGTGGGAGGAGAAAGGGACAACAGAGGATGAGATGGTTGGATGGCATCATCGGCTAAATGGACCTGAGTTTGAGCAAGCCCCAGGAGTTGGTGATGGACAGGGAAACCTGATGTGCTGCAGTCCATGGGGTCACAAAGAGTCAGATACGACTGAGCGACTGAATTGAACTGAACTGAAAGACTCCTTGACACATGTCAACACCAGCTGCTTCCTTGAACTGCATTTTCTAGAAGTCCAAAGTCTGGCCATTCTGCATAAACAGCACTTCAGGGAACTCAGCCAGCAGTTTTCTGGCACTTCCTCAGTTTGAAAAAATTTACGTCACAAGAAAGCAAGCCTTTCTTGCACTTCTTTGGTGCAAACTGATGAAAATATTCAGTAGGACTACTATGACTCAAAGAGCTTTGCCCTCTGTACACTCAAAATATGTTGCTGAACTGAATTGCAGTTGTTATTTGAAACCCCTACGTGACAAATGTACTTTAAAAAATCTCCCTGAAAGATCAGTATAGTGATGTAACAGTGAAGCAGCCAGAGTGCAGGGTTAAGGATGCGATTAAACGCCGGCACTGGGTCACACTGTCCGACCAGTTCACCCTCTTCTGGGGCAAAATTTCATCGCCTCATTTATAAAGTGAGGAGCCCTAAAACTGAGTAGAAATAAAGAAGTATAATGTTCACCACAACAAGCTGGAGGGCTTACTGAGATGGCAGGATACCTCCTCTCCCCCAGTACTGTTTCTGATTCAAAATGCTGGAGGTCTAGCATTTCGCATTTCTAACAAATTCTCCGGTGATGGCGAGTCATCGGGTCCTAAGGCCACAGGGACCCCAAGTGGTTCGTGGCAGGCCATCAGTAAAGGTTCACTATTAACACCACCATTCCAGCTGTGCACCGACAGGGGCCCGGGGATATTACATCTTAGGGACAGCGACGGCCTCTGGCCAGATGTTCCTGCCGACCCACCACGTCTCCTCAAGGAACAGATCAGAACAGGGAAGCAGCTGGAGCAACAGAGTCACTGCCTTACAGAAAGTGATTCCTTTCTCCAACTTGCGCCTCTAGGAAACAGCACAGGCCATCCACCCCCGGAGTCCTGCCCTCTCGATTTCGCAGCCGTTTGTTTTTAGCCCTCGCGGCAGCCTGCCCTCTCAGAAACCTAGGGCCAGAGCCGGGATTCCAGGGCCCTCGGGAGGGACGGAGGCAGGTGCGGAGCAGAAGCTGGAGCCCGGCGTGAGGGCGTGGCGGGGAGCCGAGCTCTCTGCTCCCATCCTGCCAACTCTCCGGTCCCTCCCGATTGCCCACCAACCGAGGGCCCAGCGGAAGATGGCTGCCCGGAGCGCCGCGGACAGTCACGTGTCACGGCAATACCGCCGCACGCCCCCTCCCCCGCTCGCCGAGTCCCGGACCCCGCGGGACGCGCAGCCCTAGGCTGCCTGTCCGCCACCCGGGTACCGAGCGGTACAGAGAGGAAGGGAGGATCCCACCGCAAAAAGCCGAGAGCTCGCCCGGGCGGCCGCTGCCCGGGCGCAGGGATCCGGCTCTGGCAGCCAAAAAAATTCTTCCTTCGAGCGACCTGCACCAGTTCGGGCCACTGGGCATGCGCAATGCTCCGGCCCGCGTTCGCCGGCTCTCCAGCTTTTTCCCGCAGCTCCGTCGGGTCGGCAGGAGGTGGAGCCGGGAAGGGGCGAGGGGCGGGGCGGGCCCGAGTCTTCCCCCTCCAACTGAAGGTACTCCAGGCCTTGCTCGCCTTCGTTCCGTTTTTGGGATGGGAGTCTGTGAATAGAGGTTTGGAAATGAACCGTAGAGTCTTAGGTCCGCCATTTAATTTTTTTGTTTGTTTTTTTAATGATCAGTCACGAGTTAATTCCAAGTGCTGTACTCCTAGGCTCGGTGGGAAAGAGAATCCTCGGGCAGCTTGCAACCTCGTGCCTGCGAACCGGGTCTCCAGAAGGCAGAGTTTGCGTTCTCTGTTCCGACCAGCTCCAGCTCTTCAACTCTTTGGTTTTGCCCCAAGTGGAATACTGTCCCTAACCGTAAAACCTGGCTTCCGTCCGGCCTCACTAAACGGCCCCCGAAAAATGTGCAAGCAGGGCCTCTCTCCTCGGTGGAGAAAACGCTCGCCTCCCGAGCTTCCAGCTACTTGGAATAACAGAGTTCCAAGCCTCGCTTGCCCCTAGGTGCGCAGTCTGGCCGGGGTCCCGCTGGGTCCCGGGACGAGCTCTCTGCAGACCCCGCCCGCCCGCCCCGCCCTCCAAGCTGCTGCGAACACCCGGAGGAGCGGATTTGCGTAGCGCGGGCAGCTGGGCCGGCTCGGGCAGCGGACTGGGCATGCTCGGCAGCCCGGGAGGCTCGCGGTGGCTAGTCGGAAGCGTTCGCACCAGCTAGGCAGCGGCTGGGGCAGCGGCGGCGGCAGCGAGGGGCAGCACGGGAGCGGGAAGGGCCGGCCAGGGAAGGCTGCTCTCTCCTAGCGCCCGGTGAGCCGGAGAGAGAGCGCAATCCGGGTACGGAGCCCCAACGCTGCCCTGCCCCGGATTTCATTCCGCGGCTGGGGGCTCGGCGAGCGGAATTCCGGCGGCTGCCGCGACTCCCGTGCGAGTGAGTCGTGGGGCGGCGAGAGAGAGCAGATCGCTGGGGAGCAGATCGGACACCCACCTCGGGGGCCTGGCCTGACGCCAGGAAAGGTGTGCCGGCAACCCCGGGGCGAGGGGGCGTGAGCGCAGCCCGCTCAGTGCCTGGCGCGTACCTGGCTGGCACTCCCCCCGCGCCGCCGCTCGGGGGGCGGGGGGGGGGGGGGCGGTCCCGCAGCTGTTCTCGGGGCCACGAGGGGGCGGGCCGCCTGCGGGGCTCCGGGACCTAGTTGGGGCGGGGAGAAAGGCGGGGGCGTCAGCGGGCACCTTTTCAGAGGTCCTGCTTGCGGACTGGAAGGCTGCCTAGTGTCGGTTTGGGGCGAGCGGTCTGTGGCGGGGCCGAAGAACCTTCGGACAGTGGCGGACGGGGGTCGGGAGACCCGCAGGTCCGACCCCAAATCACGGCCCTACCCCCACCTGGTGGCGGCGTGACAGTTGGTACCTCTGGGTCCGATCGCAGCTGGCCAGGCAGGCTGAGTTTCGGGGTACCTCCCCGCCACCCCCCTCCCCCGCTCGATGTCCGTGGACAACATAACAGGTGGGACCCCTTTCGCTGAGCAGCGAGGACCCCTCCACAGACCGCTTAACAGCCTCCAGGTTTGGGGGCGGCTCTGACACCCGGCGGGGCTGCCCCCACGCTTGAGGGTGCTTAGGGGTAAGGCCTTGGAGGAGCCATCGGCGCAGCTTGGAGCTGGACATTCTTTCCAGGACGCGGCTTTTCCCGTGAATGAGGGGTCTCCGCGATTCCGAGGCGACTTGTCAAGGGCAGAGCAGCGACAGCAGAGCTGTTTCTCCCACCTTCTTAGTCCAGGCTCGGGCTTTCTGCTTCCTCGGGTGGGTCGGGTACGGTGTCCTGGTCCGCTAACGGATACACACTGGAGGCTTCTGGTTAAAGCTTGTTTCCGTCTCCGGAGCTTCGAGTACAATTCGGGATGAGGCTTGCCAGGGCCGGAGGGAGTGAAGAGAATCCGGATTGCAGGAGCTTCTCTGATGTTTCATTTCACCTTCAGACAGTAGCGACTTCAGCGGTACACGCTTACGACACGAAGAGTGAAGGCTGCTTTTCTGAAAAGGAAGTTTATTTTCTGTGTTATGGGGCCTGCTTACTATTCTAGCTCCGTTGACATTTACCTTGCCGGGCCTTCAGAGCTGTTTGGACAGGTTATTTTGCTTGCAGGTTATTTTCCGTGCAGACTTGGGGGTGTTTGGGGTTGGCTCCCTGGGTGTGGAAGTGGCAGGTGCCTGTCATGGTGTGCTGTGAACTCCCCACGCTTCCTGGCACCGGGGGTTGAACATTCAGGGAGCTGGGGACCGAGCGGGCAGAAAGCGAGGAGTGGGACTAGTGACGTAGCCGCGGTGGGAGTTGCCTGGGGCTGCCCAGACGGAGCGAGGTTGGTTGGCTGTTTTGGCTGGTGCGGAAAGGGAGAGGGCTGGGCGTTTCATTGGTTCGGGGAGTAAGGTGTTCACGGGAGAAGCCGGGCGGGGGATGGGTCCCCCTCTGGTCAGTGCTCCAAGGGAAGCCCAGGGATGTTTAGTGATTCAGCAGGTGGCAACTTTCCAGCCCTGAAGCCGTACCTTGGCCAAGCAAGCCAGCGGCAGCTGCTTGTGCCTGCTGTCAGAAGCGCCAGCTTCTGGGGAATCTCCAGGAGACTTCTGCCTATAGCCGACTTTCCTTATCTTGCTTTTTGTGCATGGCAGGAGGCCCTGGTCTTTTGGGTTCCTTCCCCGCCTCTCTTCAAGTGTGTAGCATGTTTTCGAACCTCTCCAGCTCTGTGACCCTCTGAATAGCAGGAAGTGGCAGCTGCCACCACGCACCGTTTATTAGTTAATGTGCAGAAAAAGATAGCAATATGTAAAACAGAGAAATAGTCTGTTCCTTTTATTTCTGCTTCAGAGATTAGAAATTTACATTTTTAGTTAAATAGTAGGGTCTTTCCTGCAACTCTTCATTGCTGGTAGTGAGCTATTTCAAATAGCAGAAGGCATGAAAAAATTAATTCAAGGGATAGATAAATTGACATGAAAAGGACACAATTATTAAAATTGGATGATCTCTGGCATCTTGCACAGTGTCTAACTCAATAAATGTTTATTCGGCTGAAGTTTAAAGAATTTTTCATAATAGAAACTTGTTGGTAAGTTTTGACACTTAAAGAACTTTGTATGTTTTCAAATGTCAGAATTGCCTATGTTGACCTTAGATTTTCAATTTTAGTTTGAAGCCTCAACCCTTTTACTTTTTCCAGGTGAGGCCTCTTAATTTTCAAATTGTGACACATCCTGCAGGTCAGCTGAAAAAACAGGCAGGCGTGTTTTGCTAACTTATCTCATGAAAATCTTGAAGACTCCTAATATATAACCATTATACTTTTTTTTTTAAACCTAGAAAGTGGTCCAGCTGCATATCAAAATGCTTTATTTACAAAACTTCATTTTGTACAAAATGTTTCAGGACAACTGTAGAGTTCCTAAGCCTTTATTATCATTTTATCAATGAAAAGTGCTGCCATAGAAAAGACAAAACAGTGTTTGGAAAATAAAAATTCTCGCTTATTTGCGCAGGGGATAATTGGCCCTGTCTTTCAGGGCAGCTGGAGTGTTTGTCCAGTTCTTTCTGCATTTTACCTTTTCTATTCTGTTCCTTCCTCCAGTTGTTAAGCTGTTTCTTCTTCCCCTAAAGACATACTTTCCTGGCATGGACTTGCTGACTTAAAGCTGCTGCATTTTCTGAGCTAAAGCTGCTGTATTTTCTCACATAAATTCTATTAATGATGACCTTTATTTTTTAATTGTCCCAGACACTTTCCCACCACTTCATATGATAAAGTGTTTGATGGTCCTTGGAAAAATGGGGGGTGGTGGAGTTGGTGGGGGATGCAGAGGGAGGGGGGTGTGACAGATTATAGCTGGCTCTTTCTTTGCCTTTTTTGGATGATCTCTGTAGCCACAGCAGCAATCTCTTCTGGAAGGACTGTTAAAGTATGCCCAGTCTTAGAGATTTTGGCCTTTCTGTTAAGGCTCTCGGTAGGGAATATTAATGGTCACTTATCCTCTCCTACCACATCCCATCCCAGGAGTTGGTGATGGACAGGGAAGTCTGGCTGCAGTCCATGGGGTTGCAAAGAGTCAGACACGACTGAGCAACTGAACTGAACCACATCCCAAGAATTTTGACTGTAAAGTATGTCACTTTAATAAGCTACCCAATTGCCAGAGGACCATATTTTGCATCAACCCATTTAGACAGGGGAGTTGGGAAGCATCACTGGATGTGGGGGAGGTGCGAGTGAAAAAAGGGGAAGAGAATAGTGAGTGGGGTCAGGGAGATGGCTTGGTTTTGTAACTATGACTTCTGGTTTCAGTAAAGCAGAATCAAGTGTCTGATCAGTGTGTGTGGCTCAGTCTGTGCTGGAGTGCTCTGATGCCCTCTCTAGTATTCTTCCCTCCGCCAATGAACACACCACACACACATGACCTCAGACAAATTCATAGACCTGCACATGCACACACATACTGACAAGAGACACAGGCACAGATGTAGACACATGTATCCTATGCCAAAAGCTAAGCATCCCAACTTCTTTTTAAAACCAATATGTCACATAGGTAAAGCCAGGGCTCAGTAGCAGGTTGAATTTGGGGGATCTGAAACCACCCCAATCATGTATTTCAGAAAGATTCCCCTTCTCTCTCTCCATGGCAAGCTGATCTGTCCCGCTTAACCTGCAAAGCTGCTGGGGGCTTTCACTGAAGCAAACATTAAATGTCAATGTAGCTGAAGTGGTTTTCACCTTTTAGACT